GTATGCTCAATAACTTCCATCAGTAACTAATGACTAAATTTTCAGGAATGCATCACCAATAATTATGGAGTAACATAACTACAATTTCGACTATAGATGAAATTGAGTCTTGAAGACAAAAATCTTCAATCAAATAATAAACATATTGCATGGAAATTTTTTTATTAAAATAAGAGAAGTAGAAAAGTTCATTAGAATAAATTTGACTTTGGTAACCATACCTTAATTAGTCTTGAGCTCACAATTCAACGACATCTATGTTCGTGAGTTATTGAAGTTCACTACCTTATCATCTTGCAAATACTTCCATGGGTACCTTCGCATATTTATGCGCTTTCTTTCCAATACAAAGGAGAATGTTGTATTTTTCTGCTGCTACATATGCTTATTCTAGAAAGGAAGAGGGAATTAGCTATCTATATCAAGAATCACTTCTGCTTGTCCTACAAAGCAAAGCTAATTTAAAACCAAATCAGGTATGAGATTTTTGTACTAGAAAAGAAACCACAAACAACAAAAGCTTTTGAAATTGCAAGATGGTAATAGAGACAAAAATGACTAGAGTTAAGATCAATTTCCTTTTCCAAGAAAAGGTATGTAAATCTTTTAGGAATCAAAAGATGATAACAATAAAGCACAAAATTCGATAACGACCTTAGGTCTAATATTAATACCTTACCTTACAATGTCAAAGCATACAACCACTCCAAAGAGAAGTACTTCCGGCACCAACAATTCAAGCACACAGAATTAGTTTAACATAATAACCAACCATAACAAGGCCAATGAACGAAAAAAAAAATGACAAAGCCAAACCACCGGAAGAACAAAAGGCAATAGAACTGACACTGACTCTGCATGTATATGCTTTGAGAGGTATATTTCTCAACAAAGAAAATCATAGGAAATTATTAACAAGCCAAAACTATTGCCTAAATTGATGGTTTTAATATCAGAGTTTGCAATTATTAATCAGGATAAGTACAGTTGCAACACAATCATTTTATTTCTAATATAGTGAAAACGTTACCAAGTTACGGGAGGTTCAGTGATGGGTTTGGGTTAGCCAACAACTAGAGCTTCACCATTGGACCTCAGTTCTCACAACATCAACATCGTCATGGTAACCAGCACAACACATCATGATGTTGCCTTGGCTTAACCCATCAAGACCAAGAGGGAGAAAAAATCAGCGAAATCTGTTAACTCATTCATCCCTCTCTCTTAGCCATGGCCAATCACACACCTTCACAATCTCTCTCTGCACACAATTACACCCCCTGCACCATAGAAATTTTATGGAAAGTAACACAATGACACCCCTCCACCAAAGAAATATGGAAATAAACGAAGAATAATGCTTTGGATGAAATCCTCTGGCTCAATTTACAAACAGACCTAGAAGTCTTTGATAACAATTTAGCAGCTATACAAGGCAATTACAATGGCAACAAAAGAAATAGATGGGCAGTGTTATAAAAAGAATATAATACAATAATATAATACAACTTGGAGAGAGCAGCTGTGTTGATGTGAGAAAACGCCGCATTGCATTTAAGTGTGGGTACAACCGAAGTAATACATGGATTAGTAACAGATTCTATGGTGTCATCTTCTTCCTCAAAACTATTACCTCATTTCTTACCAAGAAGATTCATGCACCCGTGATTGGAGAATCTCATCGGCACATTACACGATGATTCCCAACTATGAAGATCAACATCCTCAAAGACTTGCATTGTTTTGATTAATATTTTTCTCACAAGGAACATTGTTTGACTAAAAAAGCTTTGAAAAAAAAACAAGAACTTGGAAACTCGAGGCATTTAACTAGTAGAAGACTTTCTGCAGCAATTGAATCTCACAAGATATATTCCACTTTTCGTCAGACAAATTTCAACAAATACAGAGAGAGCGCTTTGGAATTGAACCTGAACACAACGGGAAGTTGTTTCAATGGCCGCAACTTCAATCTCAATGTAGAAAGTGGGGCTCTTCAACGGGGCGACTTTGAAGGTTAGGGTCTTCATCTTCTTCGTGTAAGCTAAGGCTATTTCATGGTGGGTGAGAAGGTAGAGTGAATGCGATTTCAAGGAAAAGAAAGGGAACGCCCGACTTTGGAATACAAAATGAGGCAGAATGAGTGGTTTCGAATTTGATGTAAGAAACTAGTTTTTGGTCTTCCCATTTCTTAAATTTAAGTGTCATGTATACCCAAAATTATTGAAATAGCGTACGTATTTCTCCTCAACCACTTTCCCTCAATCTACAGGACTTCTTCATCGTCCTCCTTAGAATCAATATCAACATCTTGGTTTGGTCTAATCTCAGATACGTACTCTACGTCTCCAACCCTCCATCGCCTTCATTCTCAGATACGTTCTCCATTACCTCCTCATTCACATCGTCACTTGCTGTGTTTTGCTCCCTGAGAAGTTGCAACTTCCTCCTCATGTCAACGAGCTCGCTCTCCATAAGAAAAAGTCTCTCCTTCAATGTCAAGTTCTCCTCCTCCAACTGTGCTATATGGCTATCCTGATCATCGACCCTATTTTCCAAACAGTTATTATACTCTACTCCATAGTTCTGGTATATCATTTCAAATCGACTCAAGTCATGGTCCAATCTACGTTCTACCTCCAGATGTTCCTCTACATCACTATCACTCGACCCACCACCATCTTCCTCTTCTTCCTCGTCCTGCACTTCCGCCTTATTCTCAGATCCTCGAAGCCTTATCAACCCTTTCATTGATCCATAACCATCAACACCCCATTCCTCCTTGGCCATATCACCCAACGCCTCCCTTGAAGGGGAGAACATTGGAGTAGCAAGCACGGCTGGTGTTACGGGACTAGGGGACACAAGTGAAGCGATCCCACCATACTTCTTCGCACGAATTATAAAAGACGAGGTATTCCGAGGCGCATAAGGCGCAAAACTATTACTGAACTTCTTTTTTGGGTAAAACTTTCGAGCTTTTATGCGATTTTGAGACTGCAACTCGTGAAGACTTGGAGGTTGATACCCTCCAGCATTATTTGGACCAATTAAGGAACCCGGTAAGGGTTTTACCGTTCTTCTATTGTTTATCCTTTTGTCACTGACGCCTTTCCCCTTCCAATTGCCTCGTCCCGACCTTGACTGCTTCGTAATTCCGTAGTTGGGCTTCGGGAAATTGCGGTACTTCTTGTTCTGATCCAAAGGGGCCTGCAGGCGTGCCCATACCTTATGGTTTCTACTCATCATAGGCGGCAGAGAATGACTCACGATCATTTGAGGCTGAGGCAAAAGATTTGCCTGGTTGATGGCCTGCGACTGAGACATTATCTGAGAATGGCTCAATAGCTGGTTTTGGTTCAGAAATTGAGGTTGATTAATTACCTGTGGCTGGTTCATAATTTTAGACTGATTGATTACATGAGGCTGGTTTGCCATCTGCGGATGGTTCATACTAATCATTTGAGCTTGATTTGTTATCGGATTCTGATCGTTCATGACAAACTGTATCGAACCTACAGCTTTGCCGAAGAAATTAAAGATCGAACGATAATATCTCTCTCGCTTTCCAGATCAAAAACACGCCAACACGATCGAGAATTAAAAATCCCTTATCGCAAACCTGAAACAAGAACAAAAAATTCGCGACGAATTAATCCGAAGAACACCTTCCCTTGAGAGATGATTCTAGATAACGAGTCAAGAAAACTCCTTATGCGGCGTTACAGGTTTTTCCAGAGAAGAGTATTTTGGCCAACAATTTTTCTCTATCCGCTCTGCCTTTTACTCCAAGAAAAAGGTAGGAATCTTGATTTCTTGAGGAAACTGATTTGGGTCGGTGCAAGGCGCGCCCTCGAGATATTTATAGTAGAGAGGACCACGGATGGACGGTCATGATTCAGCCATCAGATTGAATTTCGTCATCAAATGTGTCATACCATTTATTAAAGGAATGAGAATGTATTATGGCCAAAATTACAAACGTCGCCTCATTTTTCTCTCTATTTCCGAAACTATATCATTGGGCCGGTTCCACCTAAGACAATTAAGCCCGACCCAATAATAATTTTATTATTGATTTGTATTATTTTATTTTTTTTCATGATTTTATTGGTACAACTTTTCTTTTCACAATGGAGAGGGGATGTTTTAATTAATTAAGTTTAGTTCATCATTTTCATATATACTTTGCCTTTCCACTCATTGTATTTTTAAAATCAATCATTCTATTTCTAAAATCAATATGTGAGAAAATATTAGATAACATTTTTCCGACTAGATAAAAAAATATATTTAATTAAATTTTTTTAAAAAAGGATAGCTTGTTAAGGGTTATTGCTCTCACGATCGTACTTTTTCAACCATGCAGTATCGTAATCTTGACACTTTTACGACCCGCCTTAAGGAGAACTCAAGCCCCATATATATTTTTTGTTCGGCTTTGTGACTTTGTCGAACTTTAGGCAAGTTTGTCTTCGCCAATCGAAGATCGTTTATGTGGAATCTAAGTTCGTTGCCTGCACGTGCATGTTCAATCGTCTGCGACACAACCAACCTGTCTCTACAAGTCATCTGACTCGACCTTGCCTCTATTCAGGGCCAAGGTCTCTCAATGCAACATCACATCTCATTTTGTCTCTTGGATCCCAATCGACATGCCCATATATCTTGGCCCATCCCAAGTCTCGAAGTGTCATCGTTCATTGCAACTCACTGGGTCATGTCACTGAGAACGAATCCACGTGTCGCTCATTTCATCGGGACATCTCGAACAGTCATCCATCCGAGTCCTAACCTAACGAATAAGTGGATTAAATGCAGTAGAGCATGTGAAACTCCGCCTAAGTTTGATATAGAGATACTGATGGGTGTAGATGGTATAAAAAATTAAGTAATGTAATTTAGTTGCAAATGGTTGAAAGCTAAATCTTCTTTCAAGTATGCAAATCGTTGAAAACCCCACGGTATACTCGAAAGAAAAGAAAAGAAAAACCCCACCATTACCGCTACTAGTTGCTTTGTTTATTTTCATCATATTTATTGTCATATATATGTGTGTGACCGATTTATACATGTAACCAATATGATGAAAGTATAAAAGTAGGAGATTGTTCAAAGGTTGTTACGGAACCAGAAGACCCCTTTACTGCAGGAAGCTGAACCCCCCTCGTCCTCGTCTGGCTCTACATAAATGCACTCTCTGAACTCCCTCCACGCAGCCTTGAAAATGGGTGTCCCGTCGAAGTGGTAGTACTCTCCCAGTACTTCTTTTACTGCTCTCGTCGCCTCCGTGGCGTTGTAGTGCGGCATAGAAGGGAACAGATGGTGAATCACATGCGTGTCTGTTATATTATGAAACACTTTATTCAGAATCCCATAATCTCTATCCACCGTCACCAAGTTTCCTCTAAGCCAGTCCCATTCGCTGGAATCGTAGTATGGGAGTGAAGGGTGCGTGTGTTGCAACGACGAGATCAACACCACAAACGCATACATTACGGTTAGGGGCAGTAGGTAGATGCGGATGACCCAAGCGATTCCCCTTGCAGCCGCCAACTTGTAAAGCAAATACCAGAAGGCCACAACTCCCGCGCTGGATATGTGAACTTGAAGCCATTCTTTTCCGCTGAATATGGGGCTGTTTGGATAGTAATGGCTGGTGAAGCTATCGTAGAATCGGCCAGAACTGTTGAAGGCTAAGTACATTGGCCAGCCAAGAGTGAGGGTGAGAAAGAGGATGAGGAGTCTGGCGGGTGGGTTGGTCAAGTGCTTGAAATACCAGGGCATTCTGGACTTGGGCTTGGGGACAAACACCTCATCCCGCTCGAGGGATGCGGTGTTGGAGTGGTGGCGGCGGTGGCTGAATTTGAAAGAGAAGTAAGGGATGAGAAGGGAAGAGTGGAGCAGGAAGCCAACGAGATGTTCTACAAATTGGTAATCGCAAAAGGCGTGATGGCCGCACTCGTGAGCGATGACCCAGAGGCTGGTGAAGACGCAGCCTTGACAAAACCAATAGAGAGGCCAAGCCAGGTAGTGTAGTGGGTGGGGAAGACGGTGGAAATAGGTGGTGGCTATGTGATAAAATATAGAGACGAAGATGGAGTCGAAGATTAGGTAGGAGAAGGAGCGGTAGAGGGATCGTTGGAAGCAGCGTGGAGGAATGGCTTTCTTGATTTGAGTAATGGTGAAGGGAGGCTTAGCATGTGTAATGCGCTCCCCCAACGCCAATTTGCTTGCTGGGGTTCGCTTCTGCATTTCCATTTTATTCTAAAGCTCTTCTCCCTTCCTAGTGGGTGACTCGAGAAACCCAATACCTTTTAGTCTATATATCCCAGAAAACAATAACTCCCCCACACTGCTTTAATAAATGTGTAAAATGCTAGAAAGCAACAAGCAAATTAATATTACTATAAAACGAAATGGAGGTGGTAAGGTAAGTTTACAAGGCAGCCAAACATTTGTCAAAATGGGATGTCTTTGTGTCTGTGAAGTTCGCAACTTAAGAATATGTGTTAGGCTCATCGGGGGAACAACAAAAGCATGTAGATAGAGGGAGACAGCTCCATTGGGATCTGTTCTGTTCTGTTCATAGAAATTTCCAGATGTTGTTTTAATTGCACCGACATTTTACACGTGTAGAACCACAACTTCCATGCCTCCATAGTTTTACACGTCGTCTATTATTTTAGAGAAAGCTAGCCACAACGTTTCTGGTCTCTTCTCATATCATCGCGACAGGGTTTTTTCTTAACATTCTATGTTTCTGTTTAAGTAAACTGTTATAATTATGATTAACGAGACTGCAACGGTTGTTGCTTTAATTATGATACTTATATGTGTGATCAAAACTTAGTTAGGATTTTTGACATGTGGGTTGGAATGTATATGTTAACAGCTATTCTGGTAGAATACTATTAAGTTAAAATCTCCTATTTTAATATGGTTATACATTTTAAACGACGAATTAAAAGTATAATTTGGAGAGATTTTTGAAGGTGAAGTTCATTTCAATCATTTTAAAATACTCATGTAAAATTTCATGTAATTTAAGCTCTTAAAATTAGAGTATTTAAGATTCGTATTAAATATCATCGTATTCAACTCAATATTGGTGCAACTTTTATTGTTTTTATAATATTATTTTATCGGTCAAGTTTGGTTATCATATCATTTTACTGTTCAAATTTAGGCTTATACCGATTAAAAGAGAGCAAAAATTTTAATCCCTAATTGAACTTTTAGAAAAAAAAATATATTATATATATATATATATTATTGTAACAGCTAGTAATCCATTTGATATGGATTTAGTTTTCTAACTGGTTGCATTTTAGTTAATCAAATGAATAGAATTAGCAACAACATAACTGATATATATTGTAAACCCACCAATAAAAATTGACCTTAATTAAGGGATTAAAAAGGTTCATCCTTCATCACCAGTAGAACACTACGGGTCTTTCTTCAAATACGTACAGACAGACCATAAAAGGAAGAAGAGCAAAGAAAAAGAAAAAGAAACTGCGAGATACCACCATTTTGATCTTCCATTTTTCCCTTTGGTGGGCTTCAGTTTTTATTCGGGACAGACTCAGAGCTTGTTGCGGTACCAGACGACTCCTTCAATGGGGAAAAAAAGAAAAAGAAGCAGGAGAAGGTGCGGAGAAGAGAGCGGTGGAAGCAGTGGGGAGGAATGGCTTTCTTGATTTGGCTGAGAGTGAAAGGAGGCTTTGCGTGTGGAACTCGCTCATGGACCGCCTTTTCCATTTTGCTTCCAACTCCCATGGCGGGTATGAATGCTTGGAGTTTTCAACTGAGAGATTGTTATTTAAAAGCAGCAGCAGCAGAACATTGGTCACGTGGAGGAGAATGGACCCCAAATGGATTATGGATCCACGCATGCGAGGTAGGGGAAGAAATCGAAAAATGATTTGGATTGAAAATGTAATGACACTTATTTTTATTATATGATATAATGCATGAAAGCCACATTTTCATGTAACATCTGCCTAATATGTTTATGGTATTTCTTATAACCTATGATTCTTACAAAGTTATGATCGATTATACATGATTGCTCGCATATCAAATAAAATATGATTAATCCAATAACACATAATAGATACTTATTATTCATGCATAAAAAAAAACTCATCTCATCTAACTTTTAGGCATTTCAATGGTTAAAGCATTTATCGTCGTAAGCTCAATTTAATGTTTTTATATTTTGTTTAGTTGATCGTCACTTAAATTCAACCCTAACAAGGGGTGAAAACGAAAACGCTACTAAACTACCTATCCAAAATTAGGCTTAATTTGGTCCAGAACACACCAAAATGACCCATGTCAACCAGAAAATGTTACTCAACAGTATTGGAGTTGAGCTGACTGCAAGCTGCATGTGCGCCGATGGTGCTTTGCCACTAGGACAAGCTTATTCAACATTCCATGCTCTTAGGAGAGTGATTTGTCACTAATGACTTGCCAATGGAAATAGGGGTAATTAAGCAACAAGACCTTAAGAATACAAATTCGAAAAGCGAATTATATTTTCATAAACGGAACCGCCTGGTATAGCTTGTGACATCATTTAAGAGTAACTTCTGGAGTTTTAAGAGAAGACAAAATGTAAATTAGTTAAATTTGGGGCGGCATTGATTTTCTTGGCTTGCTGTGAAACGTGGCAGCTATGCCCCAAGCTTTTTATGTCGGTATGGGAACTGCACCAAACACTCTTCAAATATTCTTGATTGACCCAGCAGTGAGCGGCTGCTTGCGTTTGGCCTTCGCACGTGAATCTTCCCTCACCAGACGAATCCTGTGGAACTTCAAACTTAATGGCCCATAGATTTTTACACCATCACTCCTTTCCTTATCCTCCAACAGATATTCCATTTTTGAGCTTCCTACATACATACATCAGCTTCATGTATACATACTTTTACCTTTTTCTCATTTTTATAATTTTTATTTAAAGTAAAGATTCTTCCCTTTATGCATAACCTCAAAAGCCTCACATCAATAGAGATATATTCCAACAATCCTCCCCTCGGACAGAGGACGGACAGAGGACAACATATAGCCTCCCTTTCATCGAGACTTGACTCCCTTCTCTCTTGAGTCACTCTTGACTATACATTAGAGGCTCACAATTTTTTTGTTCGACAATTGAGAATTTTGTTGGCATAACTAAGTTAAGATCATGGCTTTGATACTACATTAGATTAGCATATAGTTTAAAGGATATAAAAAATATATACCTCCGACCCTAGGAAATCTAGAGAGTTAAAAAAGGTGAAAAAGAGAAAGGGAATATTGAGGGTGGGTAACGTATATGGGTAACTGTGAGGGAGGATATGAATCGGAAAAAGGTTGGAAGAATTGATGGATGCAAGGCAGATATGGAGAAAGAGAGGGGGGAATAAATAAAATGATAGCCATTACTTACTTGGATAAAGAGGAAGGAAAGGAAGGGATCTCGTGTGATGGAGAAGAAGACAAAGGTTAATAATAAGGTTGCCAAAAGTGAAGGAAACTATAAGTGGATACAGCCCAGTTTTGTTCAAACCACGCTCACTCCTTCCCCAACTCTCATAATTTAACTTCAAAATCTAATCGCTTCCACCCTGTCCCTCTCCTTCACCAAATCCCCCTATTCCCAACACGTGGAATTTTCAACAAATGTTTCAAACCACAGCTTCAGACATGCACATAGGGACCAATCATTTCCTCCCTCTTTTTCCGTGTACACACACCCTCATGCTTCTATTCCTCCTTCTCTCAATGTCTTTTCTGATCTTCCTCTTAATTTGAAATTTCTTCGCGTTCACAATATAATTAACATTTTCCATTCAACTCTGTCTCTCGGTGTCTAGCTAGACCCATGATTTCCCTTTTTGTCTCTTCTTAAAACCCCACTTTGTCCTCTTCCACTTTAATTATCATCCTTCCAGCTTGTCAATGCATCGGTTTTTAAGATTTTCATGCACCCATATGATTAATCCTTTCCTCTCTCCCCAATCGGCGCCCCAGGTGAATATATATACACTCATACACATATATGAACCCAGTCTATGTATGCGCTCGCATTTTAACTAACTTTTTCTTCATCTCCCCAACAACAAAATGGAGCCTCACATATGGCGTCAGATGTCTCAAATGAAAACCCATGAATATGATCATCATCGGTTTCACTCAGAAAGTCAGGTCGATTTGACACTCCGACTTGGCTTCCCCAATGGTAATGACAACGGCAATGCCAATGCCAATGCCAATGCCAACGCCAATGCCAACGCCAATGCCAATGCCAATGCCGGTGAACGTCCTGATATTGATCATTCTAAACCACTTTTCTCCGCTCCACTTCATAGTATCAACCATCATGCGCTTCAACCTCACCAGGTTTGCTTCTCTCTTGCCTTATTTTCAAAACAAACCCCAATCTCTTTTGCTTAATTAGATTAAGTATCAGCTTTTGCAGATCTCAATCAAAATTTCAAACAAGTCTATGACTTTTTCAAAACTGATTATTGTGCTGTCTCTGCCCAATCTTGATTAGGGTTTTTTCAATTGAGGCGTGATTTGACTCAATTTAATAATCACTAGTGTGTACACGATCCTAATATTAATTAGCCTTCCATCATAGTGTTTCCAGATTTTTTTCTTCTTTCCATTTTAGAGTTAGGAATTTGAAGCTTTAATGTCAATGTGATATGCATATACACATATGATGATTAAGGATGTATAGTTCTGATATGGAAATGTGTGGAAATTCAAATCGGATGTATCACTGATTAATCCAATGATGTTAAACCAAAACTCAAACAGGTGATGGTGAACAATAATCATGGGTTGGCGTCTTCCGGTGGCAGAAATGGTGAGATGATGAGTGAGGCGAATTACAACCCTCACCAAATTGTATGGTCAAAAGAGCTGAAAACCTATGTTCTTAAGTCAAATAACTTTGGGCAGCTTCATCCAAGTTTATACTGCAACACTTATCCAGCGAAGACCGTTGGCAGCACTGCAAATAGCACGGCCAATCTTCCTCTTCAAAATTACAATAATGACCAGTACACACTCCTCAACCCTGCTTGTAGAAAAGCAGATGATCATGAAGCGGAAGCTTCCTCCGGCAGCCGGCGGAGAGGTTTGCAACGGCGCCGAGTTTCTGCCTGCAACGAGGTCGAGAGAAGGTGCACCAACTACAATTGCAACACCAATTTCACGCCCATGTGGCGAAAAGGCCCTCTTGGTCCTAAGGTACGAAATTAATTAAGATG